TGTAAGAATTTGGTCAAACTGAGCAATGGAACTGGCCGATGCATAAAATGTACCTAGACTAACTTTGTGCCTGCATAATTCCATAAGTTTTCCATCAGATTCCATATTTGGTGTCATTACCGTCAAGAAAGTGAGCACTTTAAATTTCAGGGTCTGGACAGTGAAAATGTAAATCAGTGCATTCTGTTCATCCATTTCATGTCTGAATTCCTGTGATAGTCATAGTAACTTTACAAATCTGATATACAGTTGTCCCTACAAATTTGCAGGCTTCCATGTTTGAGGATTTTGATTATCCAGCATTTTTAATGACAGTCAACAAACAAATAGATTAAATTATCCAACATTTTTCCTGCATCCGTAACCTTTCCATGCTCGTATCTTTCTTTTTATTTTGTTCATTATTTATTTTACTCAGTCTGGTTACTGCCGATATTTATATTACAGAAATATGGCATCTGAATTTTTTTATTTAAAGTTATTTATTTTTATAAACACCTTGGCCATTTCCCACCAAGGTCCCCTCAAGGAAGGTTCCTTGATGTTGGTGAGGGGCTCTTGATTTAGGGAATTGGATCTGTGCTCCAGTTCCCCGAATTAAGCCTGAATGCCTTCCACATATCCCCCCCCCAGGCGCTGTATAATCCTCCGGGTTTAGCGCTTCCCCCTTGATTATAATAATAATAATCCCACCAAGGTAGGGTGGCCCGAAAAAGAAAAACTTTCACCATCATTCACTCCATCACCATCTTGCCAGTGGTGCGCTTACATCACGGTTATAAAACTTCAACATTAACACCTCTCCTTCAGTGTGCAGGCACTGTACTTCCCATCTCCAGGACTCAAGTCTGGCCTGCCAGTTTCCCTGAATCCCTTCATAAATATTACCCTGCTCACACTCCAACTGCACGTCAAGTCCTAAAAACCATTTGTCTCCATTCACTTTAACACGCTCACGCATGTTTGCTTGAAGTCCAAGCCCCTCGCATGCAAAACTTCCTTTACCCCTCTCCCTCCAACCTTTCCTAGGCTGACCTCTACCCCACCTTCCCTCAACTTCAGATTTATACACTCGAAGTCATTCTATCTTGTTCCATCCTCTCTACATGTCTGAACTACCTCAACAACCCCTCCTCAGCCCTCTGGGTAATCCTGGTAATTCTGCTCCACCTCCTAATTTCTAAACTATGAATTCTCTGCATTATATTCACACCACACGTTGCCCTCAGACACATCTCCACTGCCTCCAGCCTTCTCCTTGTTGCAACATTCACCACCCATGCTTTGCACCCATATAAGAGCATTGGTATAACTATACTCTTATACACTTCCCTCTTCCATGGATAAAGTTCTTTGTCTCCACAGACTCCTCAGTGCATCACTCACTTTTTCCCCCTCGTCAATTCTATGATTCACCTCATCTTTCATAGACCCATCTGCTGACACGTCCACTTTTAAATATCTGAATATATTCACCTCCTCCATACTCTCTATCTCCAATGTTTCATTACTCAATTTTTTTTTTTATCCTCATCACCTTACTCTTTCCTATATTCACTTTTAATTTTATTTTTACACACCCTACCAGACTCATCCACTAACCTCTGCAACACCTGAGTATTCCCCCCCTCTTACAGCCCCATCTATAAATATGTTTAACAACCATGGTGACATCACACATCCTTGTCTAAGAAATACTTTTACTGGGAAATAATCTCCCTCTCTCCTACATACTCTAACCTGAGCCTCACTATCCTCGTAAAAACTCTTCACTGCTTTCAATAACCTAACTCCTATTCCATACATCTGCCACATTGCCCCCCTATCCACCGTCATACGCCTTTTCCAAATCTATAAATGCCACAAAAACCTCTTTACTCTTATCTAAATACTGTTCACCTATACGCTTCACTGTAAACACTCGGTCTACACACCCCCTACCCTTCCTAAAGCCTCCTTGTCCATCTGCTATCCTACTCTCCATTTTACTCTCAATTCTTTCAATAACAACTTTACCATACACTTTGCTAGGTATACTCAACGAACTTATTCCCCTATAATTTTTGCACTCTTATGTCCCCTTTGCCTTTATACAAAGGAACTATGCATGCTCTCTCCCAATCCTTCGGCACCTTGCCCTCTTCCATTTATTTATTCAATAAAAGCACCAACCACTCCAAAACTATATCCAGACTTGCTTTTAACATTTCTGTCTTTATCCCATTAATCCCAGCTGCCTTACTCGCTTTCATTCTGCCTACTGCCTCACGAACTTCCCCCACACTCACAACTCACTCTTCCTCACTCTTACAAGATGTTACTTCTCCTTGCCCTATACATGAAATCACAGCTTCCCAGTTCCTCAGAATATTCCTTCTATCTTCCCGATGCCTCTAACTCTCCATTTAATAACTCTCCTCTCCTATTTTTAACTGTCAAATCCATTCGTTTCCTAGACTTCCTCAACTTAGTAATCTCACTCCATAACTTTTTACTTTCAGCAAAATTTGTTGATAACATCTCACCTACTCTCTCATTTGCTCTCTTTTTACATTGCTTTACCACTCTCTTAACCTCTCTTTTTTCTCTCCATATACTCCTCCCTCCTTGCATTACTTCTACTTTGTAAAAACCTCTCATATGCTAGCTTTCTCTCTTACTACTCTCTTTACATCATTTCACCAATCACTCTTCTTCTCTCCCGCACCCATTTTCCTGTAAGCATAAACTTCTGCTGAACACTAACACTACATTTTTAAACCTACCCCATGCATCTTCAACCCCATTGCCTATACTCTCACTAGCCCAGGCTATGGTGCCCCTTGGCCTGGAGGCAAAAGCTCTTGCTTCACACGGTGAGGGTCAGGGTTCGATTCCTGGTGAAGGGGTGGAAACATCGAATGTGTTTCCTTACACTGGTTGTCTATGTTTACCCATCAGTAAAATGGGTACCTGGGTGTTAGTCGACTGGTGTGGGTCTCATCCTGGGACAAAACTGGCTTAATTTGCCCGAAATGCTCTGCGTAACAAGGGGCTTTCTATATAGTAGTATGTCTTTGATGTCAGCTAGGCCTGTATACCTTGTACATGTAGTAAATAAAGATATTATTATTAGTATTATCTATCCTCCAATAGTTGTTTATATCTTTGCCTAACTGCCTCATCCTTTAGCTTATAAACCTTCACCTCTTACTTACTGCTTCCATTTTCCTTGTATCTCATTTACTGTAGCTGCAACTAAAAAGTGATCCGATATATCTGTGGCCCTTCTGTATTAATTTCAGTTTCTGCTTCCATAGGATCTCTGGGAACATAAGCCTCTGTGAAGTTTTTAGGGACAACTGTATGTGAGTGACTGGATTGGAGGGAATGTGAAGGAAGTATGTGCTTTCAGTTATTTTGGAGTGAGCTTGTCGGCAGATGGTTCTATGAGAGAAGAGATGAACCATAAAAATAGCAAAGGGAATAAGGTGGGCGGTGCATTGAAGCCTCTGTGGAGACAACTTTATCCCTGGAGGCAAAAATGAGGAATGTACTGGAGTATAGCAGTCCCAGCACTATTGTGTAGGTGTGAAGCATAGGTTTTGAATGTTGAAGCGAGGAGAAAGCTGGAGGCAAGAGAGATGTCATGTTTGAGGGCAGTGTGTAGTGTAAATATTATATAGAGAAGTCTGAGTTTGAAGATTAGGTGTGGAGTCACCAAAGTATTATTTAGAGGGCTGAGGATGGGCTGTTAGAGTGGTTTGGACAGTCAGAGAGGCTGGAGCAAAATAGGATGACTAGGAGTTTATAAATTTGGGGTGGAGGGAAGGAATAGGGATTGTCCTAGGAAAGGTTGGAGGAAGAGGGTAAAGAAGGTTCTGAGTACTTGGGGCTTGGACTTTGAAGTGGCTTATGTGAACATGTTAGATAGGAGTGGTTTTCTTGATTTGACATGCTGTTGGAGTGTAAGCAAGGTAACAATTATGAAAGGATTCAGGGATATTGGTTAGCAGGACTTGAGTCCTGGAGATGGGAAGTACAGTACATGCACTCTGAAGGAGGGGTGAGGATGTTGCAGTTTGGAGGGTCATCTGAACTGTGGTGTTGGTGCCCTTGTTGCAAGACAGTGATTGAGTTAGTGAAAGTGTTTTCTGTGTCACTACCTTGGTGGGAGATGGCCAGAGTATTAATAAAGACAAGGAAAAGGAATCTGCTGCTCAGTCTACAGACTTGATTATTAGTTATTCACTCTTCACTGAAACTCCCAGTAGTCCCTCTGTGCCCTCTCATATACTACTCTTCCCTCTCACTTCCTGCTCATCTTTCTATAAGGATTAAAAGGACTTACTCCCACTTGTGTTAAAGCTATTTGAGACACTTATGTTTAGATTTAACAGCCTATACAATATTATATTGTGAAGTGTTTTTGGTGTTTTATTCAATTGAACTTGGTGCTTCTGAAAAGCAGGGGCATTTATGCTAATTTAGAGAAGTAAGAGTCCAATTTAAAAGTATTGTGCTTCATGATTATCAAAAAATGGATTGAACAAAAAATGGATTGAACCTCTATTAGTCCCTCCACTGAATTGACTACATGGGTTCAGTGCTGCATATAAAGTGAATAAGTAAGTTTGAAAGCTTAGCCTATTCAAAGAATTCCTCTGATGTGCTACTTTTTCCATTATGTTTTTTACACATATACAAATTTGGTCAAAACACATACAAATTTGGGACAAAACTGACCTAATTTGCCCAAAATGCTCGGCATAACAAGTGGCTTTCTGTATAGTAGTATGTTATTGATGTTGTCTAGGCCTGTATACCTTGTACATGTACTTGTAGAAATAAAGATATATTATTATGTGTTTAAATTTCCATCTACATTGTGAATCTACAAGGAAAATAAATTCTTAGGCAGACAGAGAGGTAGTAACCAAGGAAAATTGTTAAGAATCAACATTATTTTGATAAGCTGTTACTTTTTAATTTAATTTCCTCACCAAATCGTTCATCTTCAGGGTTTGTCTCGTATGAGAATGCTTTGGATGCACAGCGGGCAATTCAGCATATGAACGGTCAACAGATTGGAAACAAGCGTTTGAAGGTGCAGCTGAAACGTTCCAAAACTGACTGCAAGCCATACTAACAGGTACTTTTTTATGTTTTAACTGAATATTCATACAATGATACAGTACACCTAGTTCCATTACAGTACGCATGTCTGTAATATATAAATCTCAGTTTCATGTGCAGACAGGTATGTCTCTCTTTTTCATATCCCTTTTTTATATGCTTAACTAAAAATTTAGTTTATGATGAAGCAGCATTTATTCAGACTTAAGACCAGACAATCAACAATAACTTGTGCCTGTTGTAATAAGCTCCTGCCAAGAGCACTTGAAACTGCTACACAGTATTTGGGTATCACATTGATAGTGTTACAGACAATAACACTTAGTGTAAATGAAAACAGCAAACACAATACTCATGTTCAGGGAAGGTGTTTGATTCAAGTATGGGAAATATTACATGTATAAAATGTTTGTGTAATTGTAAAGTATATTAATGTGTACAAATATTCGTCCCACAAAAAGTCTTTCAGAAAACAGTCAAGTCAGTAGTAATGTGAAGCTTAGTGCTCAAAGTGTATTTATGTATATATTGTATAGTATATACTGTGGTGGGCCTGCCAGTGTATTTATAACAGTTTGTTTTTTTATTTTTTACTTTTTTTTTTTTTTTTAATAAGGCTGCTTGTAGCTAACAAACAATTATGAGTCTTGGAATAAACATTGCCTGTCATTTTTGTTGTATACCATACAGATTTAGATAATATTTATTATATAAAAAGATGTATAAAAATAAAATGTGTAAAGTGCCAAAAAAGTGGCACTCCCATCATGTTCTAAATGTAGGATGTGGTTTTATAAGTTGTAACAATTATTTGAAGTGGCATAAGTAACTAAATATTTGTAATTAAAAAATGTGCTTTATTAATTATTAAACTATATAATGTGATCATCAGTAGTTTTTGAGACTCCTGATTGATTGTCTAGCCAGTAATATGACAGGGTATAATTCTGTATTTGTTCAGATTGCTCAAAAGCACTGTGATATATCTGCTGTTTTCATCTGCAGTATTAATGAAATGTAATTCTTTGCCATCACTTTATTAAATATCTTTAGTCAACATACAACTCAAAGCAAGTTTAAGTAACTAACTTGTAAATACTATTATAGTTAAAGACTTAAAGTGGTGTGCTGAGAATTCAGTGTGTGTGTGTGTGTGTGTGTGTGTGTGTGTGTGTACTCACCTAGTTGAGGTTGCGGGGGTCGAGTCCGAGCTCCTGGCCCTGCCTCTTCACTGATCGCTACTAGGTGTGTGTGTGTGTGTGTGTGTGTGTGTGTGTGTTAGTTATTGCAAGTCAAGTTTCACACTTGATATTTTATTCATTTGTTTAACAATGTTGATACTGTTGTGTTGTATGTTTTATAAAAATATAAACAATCATAAAGTGTGTGATCTAAGAGCACAAAAGAAATAGGTTTTAATTGTGTTCTTCCTGATTATGATCTCATAAGGCACTCATTTGTTGTATGTTTGTTTATTCACTTATAAACTGTCAGGTTTCTGTGGGGTTTATTGCAGCATAGCACAGCTCATGATGATCTTTCAGGGATGAACTTAAAGATATTTCCTATTTAAATATAAGTTTCTCAACTTAAGAAAAGTACAGTAAACCTTCCCCGGAAAAAATATAAGAAAAAAAAATTGAGAGTTTGTTTGAGCATTAGGATTTGAGATCTGATGTACTGTATATTAAAAATGTGAGCAAAAAGTCTGCAAATTAAAAACAAAGTAATATTAGCAAGGAAGAATTAATGGTAGTGATGAAGCATTAATGAACTCTTTCAAGATTATCATAGAGTAGCAACTAGACTTTATGGTTGAATACACACTAAAATGTTTTCAAAAGGCTGTGATTTGTTTCCTTATTTTACCTATATACAGAGTTTCTTGACAAAAATATTTTTGTACTATAAGGTCAGGGAAAATAGACATGTGCTGGAGAACCTTGCAAAAGTCAAGTGAATGAAAGCTTGTGTAATAGTATGACTATGTAAAGTTTTGACAGCAGTGAAGAATGTTAATCCTTAAACTGCCAGATGGTCTACAATAAACATGCGCTCAGTGCCAGCGATTTTGAAAAAGTGATTAGTTTATTTTACCAAAAAAAAATTCTTCCTGATTTTAGAAGTGTAATGAGACAAGAATGAGTGAAATCTGTTTAGTATTTGTGGAGATTTGAAAGTTTAAAGTTGATGGTAATCAATTTATGGTAACGTGTGTTGGCTGCATGAAGGAAATTGCTGTGCAACACTGTTTTACATTTTATTCCGGTTTTTCTGTTTATATTGCATAGATCATGTATAATATACCTATGTCTGTTTTCATATCACATTTCACTTTATATTTTATAATTATTTATAAATACATATTCAGTTGGCTTCTACAATGTCCTGTGCTCAACACAAATTTATTATAGTGTGCATAGACTTATTTTCTCTGATGTAGGTTAAACTAGATGATGGCAACCATTTTGGAGAGACTAGAATTTTTTGGTATACATGTGTGTGTCAATGGCAAGTTTCTGGGTGGAAATATATGGACATCATCAGCAGCTTAGGGGTTAATAACAGTATAACAAAGTGAAAGTGGGGAAGAATTAAACTTGTGTCACTACTGTTGAAAATACAGGAGAGAGTTGCATGATGCAAATGATGAATATCATCAGTTTATTAGTTACCGAGACCTACACATTCTTAAAGAAAATAGCATGGGGGTGATTGTAATCTTGGTCATTGAATTTTTTTGTATTCGAGAGTAACTGGATATATATAGTTCTTGCATGATAATTATACTTATTACTTATTGTGAAGTGTCCTATTATTGGGCTCTGTATGCCTACAGATCCAAGGCATTTTATGCTTGAGATTAATTGTGTAACAAGTCATTCTTATCTCGCATAACTGATCATTAGGCTATCGAATTTAGTGAATTAAGGATTAGTTGAGGAGATGTACAATTTTTTAATGAGATTTTTGTAATTGATCTGGCACATGTTAACAGATAATAGAGTTAGATATTTGTTAGATGTAGTCATATGTAGGAGAGGATTGTATATTCAATGGGGGCATTTTTACTTCCTGGAAATTGCACAGTGAAGTTTCAAGATGAAAACTGAACACTTACCATTCCATAAAAGCTAAGAAGAGTCATTTATTGTTAGTTAATATCAAAATAACTAAATACTAACTAAATGAATAACTATATAATATATACACCCTGAGAGAGAGTGAAAATAGAAAATAGAGAAAATGGAAGGAGGGAGAGAAAAGAGAGAAAATAGAGAGTGAGAAAATAGAGAGACAGAGAGAGACTGTTGGACAACATGGTAGTTACATTCCTGAAAATGGCATGTAATCAAAAAATAAAGTAAACTGAACTGAAGATCTTATAGGAAAAATAGGGTTACATTCAATAGATTTTCTGGTGAAGTCTGGAAGCAACAATGTAGTGTGATGGTGACCATGTAGGTGACTGTGTCAGTGACTGGGTGGCTGAATGTGGTTGTTGGTGTGGGTGGTAATGACGGTGGTGGGTGGCCATTAAAGCATGGGTAAGGATTTAATTTCTTTGCAAAGTTTACAATGTGTAATTACAATTTTGATTGCTAAGTACAAAGAAAGCCACTATCATGCTGGGGCATTTCGGGCAGACTAAACCTAATACTTAACAGGCTACTTAATACTAGGCACATATATCATAGTTGGTTCAAATCGAACATTGTTTTTTTGTATTTCAACAGAGGTAGTTAGTGGTTTAGCAGTAACTGAATTAACAAGTAATAGAATAACAAGTTACAGTATAGGAGCTGGGCTTGAAGCTGTAGGGAAATGTGTGGCGAGAATTAAAGCATGGGTAAGGTGTGGGAGTGGGGCCATGTGGGCATGTAGCTGTAGGGGAGTTGTGAGGGTGAAAGGTGTGGTTGTTGCTGGCCCAGTATGGGTGGTGATTGGATGATGGGTGACTGTATGGGTGGTGACTGAATGATGGGTGACTGTATGGGTGGTGACTGGATGATGGGTGACTGTATGGGTGGTGACTGGATGATGGATGACAGGGTGGGTGGTGATTGGATGGTGTGGCCTCACTCCCAGACACTAACCTCCAGAGACCATGCCCGACACCTGTGCCTATTTTTTTTTTGCACCCCATATGTTCTAACCCCTCACTCACCTTTACCCATCCTCTTACATACCCTCACATATCTTAACCCATCCCTTCACCTATCTTCACCCACCCTATGACACCTGGAGCCCAGGAGCTATGAATCGACCCCTGCAACCACAACTGGGTGAGTACACACCCTCAACCTCTTGCCCATATGTAAGAGGGCAGGACAGCTGTGGAGAAAGACTTTCACCCAACATTGGGCCTCCCCACCTTCACCCATCTCCCACAGTTGCTCTTCACCCTTACTTCCCCTCCCCACCATGCTTTCTTGGACACTCCCCTACACTGGAGCCCACTTCTCTCTCAAACACTTGCCCTCATCTGCCTATCCCCACCCACCTGCCTCTACCCATCCCCACACTAGTGCCCATCTGACCAAACACTAAAGTGCCGCATGGGCTGTATAATGGGCGAAGGGGATGTAGGAGGGCAGCTACAACATGCATCTGCGGGCCACGCTCACCCCTTCACCCAGTACCTTGTCCTCATTCACTAGCACTATCCCTCCCTCCCTGCACCTACCCACTTGCCTGCCCCCCTTTCACCCACTAGGAAATAAGACAATGGACTCACTGAGACGGAGGGAAAAGACCACAGTGTGTGCCACATTTTCCCCTACATATACTCCACAATGCAAGCTGATTTTTACGCTGTGTACGCAGTTTTGCGAAATGCATTAACAGATCACATGTTTTCTGATGGTTTACTGTACACATTGGCTGTTTCCCACAGAGGCAGGGTGACCCAAAAAAACATTTTTGCCATCATTCACACATAATCATTGTCTTTTCAGACACACCCAGATATGACAATTTAGATGCCACTCCAAATAGCCAATATCCCAAACCCCTCCTTTAAAGTGCAGGCATTGTACTTCCCACCTCCAGGACTCAAGTCCAGCTAACCAGTTTCCCTGAATCCCTTTACAAAATATTACCCTGCTCACACTCCAGCAGCTTGTCAAGTCCCAAAAACCATTCATCTCCACTCCTATCTAACATGCTCACACATGCCTGCTGCATGTCCAAGCCCCTTGCTCTCAAAACCTCTTTTACTCCACCATTTGTCTCCCAGTGAGGTAGGTGATCCAACAAGAAGAAACATTTTTGTCATCACTTTTATCACTTTCTTGCCAGCAGTGCACTGACATTACAACTCAGATGTACCTCCAAACTGCAATATCCCCACACTTCCTTCAGAGCACAGGTGCTGTATTTCCTGCCTACAAGACTCAAGTGCTGCTGTTTTATCTGAATCTCTCTGTAATGTTACCTTGCTCACACTCAGCACTTCAGATCATAAAAACCACTTTCCTCCAGTTGCTCCTATTTAACGTGCTCACACATTCCTGTTGGATGTCTAAGCTCCTTACATATAGAACCCCCTTTACCACTTCA